AAGAGGCTGTCACGGTGAGAAGATAAGTGGGTGTTCCCAAACCAATAAAGCTGCAAACTGTCTATAGTGTCTGATATAAGGGCAGCCGGATGACAAGCGGGGCTTGCCAGTTACCGGTGTGCCCAGGCAGAAAACATCGAAGTCAGCACACCGCTTGCCCCATCTCCTCCTACTGCTTCCTACCTCTTATCTCAAGACAAATGAGCTTGTTTTCCCCACAAAAGCAAAACGCATATTACATTTGGGAGGAATGCGTGGCCTGCTTTGAAGGTGACCTGCGGATCAAATGTTTCGAAAAGGAAAACCTAAAAGGTACCCCAGAAGCAAAGAGAAGAGGCCCACTAGGACCAGAAACACTGTACGCTGCCATGCGGGTGAGGGTCTGTTTTGCACCTGTACTTCCACGAGTGGCACAATTCACTGTGTGGACGATGGCCAAGTGCCCTTGGGGTCGAAAGGTGGCAGGGGAAGAGCAGTGTCCATGTGTGCCATCCACACAGGAGGAGCCACAAACCTCACATACGTAAGCGGCAGGGCAGACAGATTCTGCTGGGACTGTGCTGGCGGGTGAGGGAGGGTGTCCAAGACACAAAAGGCGAGGGGTGGGACAGGGCAGGGAGACAGACAGCTGGCCACTGCAGGCACCAGCAGCAGAAGGGAAGGGCGCCTGGGTCACAGCTGCAGCATCTGATGGAATGGCTCCCGCACATGGACCAGGGTGGAGAAAAGGCCAACCGGGCAGAAGGAGGGGAATCTTAAGGGCCCTCCAGCCAGTGGCACATGTCACCCAAGATCAAGGGGGACGCGGGATTAGAAGGGAGGCAGGCCAGGGCTGCGGCAGACAGACTGGGCCAGCCACTCCGCTTCTCTCTCAGTGTGAACTGAAGAGAAACCACGTAGCAACACAAACATACCATAAACGGTTAGGGACTTGCAATTTTCAAACTCCTTGTGGCCAATTGATAAGATTATCTTGACACAAGTGAAAAGAATGATCAAAGTAAAAAAAGGTCTGTACCCTTTTCAGGAAATCTAAAGCCCAGGTGGGGTAGCCGAGGGATAACACTGCTGCCGACAAAGAAGCATCGTGGGAAGATACATTAGAAGGCCCGACACATCCCCACTGCTGGGCCCAACGGGGGATGAAAAATGGAAGACAGAAAGCACCTTGTGCCGACGGGGCCCTATAGTCTTGCCTCCTGTCCGGGTCTGGGCTGCGGGCTGCTGTGCAAAGTGCTACTTTCTAAGACTCCACTGGGCAAAGGACATCCTCCAGCACATGACAGGGAACGGTGAGGCATGAGGGGAACGAGGGTCCCCAGCAGCTAATTACAAGGATGTAGGACACACCCACAGGTGCGGCGGGGCTGCTGATGAGGATGGGGCTGGGGGGCTGGTTCTTGAAAGGGGAGATAAAAATGGTCTATAGATTCTGGAGAAAAAGAGGGGAAGGAAAAAGTTCTATAACTAGACAGTGCTGGAGAGCATAATCCTGTGAGTATAATTCAAAAACTCTGAATCGTCCACTTCAAATGTGTGAATTTTACGATATCTCAAGAAAGTGGTTTTTAAGAAAGATCAGATACATGATTAATGTGTGAGTGTGAAATGCCTTGGCAATTTTGCAAGCATCATGCTTTCCAAGAGAAAGAAATAAAATGCAAAGCACATTTCTGCCAGGCATTCTAATTTTGTAATATCAAGAGAAAAAAAAAGCTAGCTGTCCTTGAACACCAATCAGGAAGAAAGCATTCAAACAGAAAATAGTGCTCTACACCAGTATATACTATATCCATTACAGTTATTATTGCACTTAGTGTTATGCTAACTGTAATGTGACATAACATAGCAATTAGCAGTTACATCACATTAACTACTAATTACATTGCTGTATTAATATAGAACATATTAACACAGTACTTACAAAATACAAATTTTAACATGTCTTTATATAGATATATGTTTTAGTATGCTTAATAACTTCACATGTATTAAAGATATTATTCTGGTATGTATTTTATATTCGTATGCTATAAGCATACTCTTTTGTATTAGGTATCATTCACATTAAAAGTAATTAAAAATAAAAACCCTTATGTCCACCTTATTTCCCTAGCTCACAACGCCAGAATGCTCCTGAGATACAAGGATGGTGGGACTTCATCTTACAGACTCTGGACATGTTCTTAGGAGACGTGCTACCCTGGAGAAGGCGGAGGGGCAGCGAAAAAGAGGAAGACCTTCGATGGAACGGACTGACACCAGGACTCCAACACCGGGCTCCGCAGGGCGCGGCCAGGGGTTGTTCTGTAGTACACAGGGTCACACCGAGCAACAACAACAATGCTTAATCAGGGAGAAAACTTAGAACAACTGTGACTGTCCCTAACTAAGAAGTAGGGCTCAGGGCACAGTTTGCTGCTTGGCAGTAAGGTAACTGTCAGGAGAACTGCTTTCAAAAAGCCCCACGGGTTCTCCGGTGCCCGTTCTGACGTTTGTGTGCTCTGCTGATTGCAGGTGTACGGAAGCAGGCCAGGCCGCTGCTCCCCAGCACGGTCAGAAGTTATGCGCACCGTCCAGTCTGGTGCTCGTGCCTCGGAGCGCAATTCCGAAGCGGGGAAGTAGAAAGCTGGGAAGAGGGACACGCTGGCCAGCACGCATCCGCTGGGCCCCCCGGGAGCATGCGTGTGCCGCCGCCGCCGCATGGTCTGCAGCACAGAGACGCACGCACCTGGCCGGGGTCGTTGTACCAGAGCTCATCGTGGAGTCGGTCGGGATGGGCCTTTTTACGCTTGATTTCTGCGATGACGTCAAACACTTCCGAGTCGGAGCTGCTGGAGCAGGTGCTCTCCGCGTCGGACTCACACTCGGACTCACTGGAGCTCTCTGCTCGCGGGCGACAGGGACAAAGAAGAGCTGTTACCCAGGGAGCCTCCCAAAGGGCAGAAACCCCTAACTACAGGACGGCTGCTCATTCTTCCAGCGCACGTCTGGGAATCCGCTCTGGGTGGTGTACCTGGTTTCCTCTGGGCCACTGAGAGGCAGAGTTGGAACCCACCTCGTGGTGCCACAGTAGAAAGGCCTGGCAGTCTGCTTCCCTAAAGCCCACTCCGAGGTCCCACTCTGTCCCACGCAGCACGGCCGTGGGCTGGAAGTGACTCCAGGGCAGTGGGTTTGGTTGCTGTCATTCTGTACAAAGGACCCTGCTAAGCAGTACCATGGGGCACCCTACGCAGCCAGCTCATCACGCAAAGCGCCCATCGGGTCCAGGAGGAGGAATACACTGTGAGCTGCTTCCTGGGGAACTAAGAGGCAATGAGGAGACTAGTGGCGGATGGTTACGCATTGGGCTGCTAATCGCAAGGCTAGCAGTTCGAAGGCACCAGTTGCTGTGGGGAAGCCAAAGCTTTCTACTCCCATAAAGCAGCTACAGTCTGGAAACCCACAGGGGCATGTCTACCCTGTCCTATTGACTCGCTGTGAGTCAGCATCGACTTGATGGCAGTGAGCTTCCTTTTCCGGAGTAACGATGTCTGAGCAGCCTCGGGGCGGCACAGCCGTAGTGAGTGATTCTGCAGAAAGGTAGTCTGCTGTGCTCCAGCAAGGACTGCAGGCTTCCAGGGTAGGGAGGCGTGGCCCAGGGAAGAAGGGGTGGGGCTAGGCTGAGAGCAGGAAGGCCCAGCAAGGCAAGTGGAGGAGGTGCTGCCAGCAAAAGTCTAGGCCAGTGGTTCTCAACCCACTTAATGCCTTGACCCTTTAACACAGTTCCTCACGTTGTGGTGACCCCCAACCAAAAAAATTATTTTTGCTGCTACTTCATAACTCTAGTTTTGCTGTTATGAATTGTAAATATCTGATATGCAGGATGTATTTTCATTGTTACAAATTGAACATAATTAAAGCACAGTGATTAATCACAAAACAGCATGTAATTATATTCTGTGAAATATTTGTGTTTTTCAGTGGTCTTCGGCGACCCCTGTGAAAGGGTTGTTCGACCCCCGGGTTGAGAACTGCTGGTCTAGGGGCAGAGCACCCGGAGTCCTGACTCAAGTGCAGCCGAGGCCCAACAAAAAAACCGAGGAAGGAGTCCAGCGTGCTCCCCTGGGGAAGACGGGGCACCCCAGCCTGAAGAGCTGACCCTTTCTTCTCTGCCAGGCCACAGCAGAGAGCAGAGGGTCTGGAGGAAGCAGAGCCTTCTGTCTGCAGACCTCCCTGAGCCTCGCTGGCAGGGAGCTCCTTTCTGAGTTCTCCCCTCAGGCTGGCCAACGTGGCTGTCCTGGAAAACTTCAGCCCAAGAGACGGACATACTTAATGACACCAAATGCTTTGGAAGGACCCTCAAAACTCAGTTTTGATCCCAAGTGGACAGGTTTCACAGAACGTCGGGGAGGCCAGACCCGGCATCGCCTGGATAAGTCAAGCCCCGGCTCTTCCTCTCCCAGCAGCAGGGACCACAGGAGGACAGACAGCACAACACCGTCACAAAGCCAATGTGGGCGCTCCCCTTTCTGCAGAACACTTTCTGAGACAGGTGCGATGAGCAGGGTCTGGGGACAGGACGTCTGGTTCTCCGTGTCTGGGCCCCTCAGGGTCTCCCCAGCAGTTCAATGGCTCAACACCAGCCCTCAGGTTCTCAGCGGCACAAATTTACAGTTTACACCAGGATTCTGCCATTCAGACATTATAGCAAAGAACCCTGTGGGTGCAAATGGTGAAGCACTTGGTTCAGATCCACCCAGGGACTCCGGAGGAGCGAGACCTAGTGGCCTGCTCCCATGAAGACGGCCGTCTACCGCGCTACATGGGGCCCAACATGACAGCAGCGAGCCACCACCACAGCAGAAGTCCCACCAGGGGCGGCTTTACAACCATCACAGCCAGAGCCTCCTGCAGAGAAAACGGGGAGGATTTCCCTTACGAAGGCAAATTAACTACTCAGAGATTCATTTTAAAATATTATATTTGGGGAAAGTTACTAGCAAAGCTTGGAAATCAATCACATCATTTAACTCCTTGGAATTTAAGTCTGCATCATGTTCTCTTGCGTTTTACTGTAATTTAGCACTACAATGAAAATTTATATATACTATTGCTTCATTTAAAATTTTTATCATTTGTTCAATAAATTATGTTTGATACGTGAGTGAAGTCACTCTGACAGTTAATCTCTCTAAATGCTTCTTTTTATATTGAAAAAACAAACAAACCAGCATTAGTGTAAATCCTTTTCAGAAAGAAGAGTATTATCTATCAGGAAAAAATGGCACTGTTTTACTGCAAATGTACATCTTTTAGGAAAAATATTCATGAAGCTGTTAAGGGCTGCCTCTATCACTTAAACTTTATAAATTTTAACATTTTCAAAGGACCCAGAACATGTATAGAAGGACACATTTTCTTCTTTTTTTAAGTGGAAAATACATAGATCTGCACCTTTAAAAGAATTTAGTCTTCAATATTTTCTGATTTTAAAAAAAAGTTTAACCTTGTTTAAGCAAACTGTTAAAAGTTTCGAGGTATTTTTCCTATTCTATTGCATTGTGGAAGATAAACTTGCCTTAAGGATTTTTAAACAAAAAGGCTAGAACTGAGATGAATCCTACAAGACAGCACTATAGCAGCCTACCGACCCAACTGAACACTCTTTACTAACTGCTGTCACAGAGGCCACATGATGCTGCTGGCATCTCAATTTTGCAGAAGAGAAATTTCAGGCACAGACATGAAATCGCATGCACAAGGTCACACATCAGGTGCCGGCTTTTACCCAGTAAGGGTAAGAGTCACTGGCTCTTACTCAGTAAGGATAATCCCTGGGTTGAGCACGTGAGGCGAACTGAAGGTGAGGGCAGGTGGGAGCCAGGGAGAACATGCAGGAAACAGAACATGCAGGAAACGGCAAACTGAGCACACGCAATTGTGTTAGGTGCAAAGGACGCAAGAAGTAAAAGGCAGCTGCTAGGCATCTACCTAGAACCACCGTGAAAAACAGACCAGTGTAGGAAGTCTGGACACTGCCCCAGCGAGTGAAGACAAAGCTGCCCAGAGAGCCAAGGTGTAGTGGCCATTTCCTCAGGAAACCAGAAGGGCAGCCAATGGAGAGGGCCAGGAGGAGGATCCCACCCATCAGCCTCCTTTTTTTCAGGGGAGGCCAGAGAGTGGTCCCTTCTAATACTGGACAAGTCTATGAGACACACAAATGCTGCATGCTTTGCAGATGAGACCCCTTATGTATTTGCTGTCATACGTAAAATAAGGGCAAAAAGAAGAAAAATCCCACTGCTGTGGGTCATAGTTAAGGTTTTATGTCAACACAGATGGATGCTCCTCAGTGGTGTGGCCACTGAGACCCAGAAATCCACTGTGATGAGATCTAACAAAATGTAATCAGCTTCATCATGGGATCTACTATGAGCAGCCCAATCAGTTGAAATGCAGTTTCCTTCGGAGGGTGGACTTCTTCCAAGATAAGTGGACACTACGGACAAGCTTGCTTGCTTTCTTCTGGGTTTGAATGCTGCACCTGGCTCATCAACCTCTGGTAAGAAGCCTGTGTTTCTGCCTGCCAATCCTCGAAGTCATTAGCAGGTTGCCATCTGAGGTGCCAACCGTAGATTCATTCGCCTCTGCAGCCACAAGCCTGCTGTCCTCCGGCCAATCTTGGGTTCATCAGCCCCTGCAGTTACATAAGCCAAGAGACGCCTCCAGCCTAACATCTGGCCCACGGACTTGGGACCTTCCTGGGCTTGAACTTGCCTGCCTCTACAACTGTAAGAACCATTCTCTTGATGTAAATTTTTTCTATATATACATCTACAAGCATCACTAATTTTGCTTCTCTAGAGAACTTAGCCTAAGACACTGTATTTTGTGAACTATAATTATGGAAAAGGAAAAAAGAAGGAATTTCAAGTTGGGACTTTCAGGGACATATCGCAAAATGCCAGGGTCAAGCAGTGTGGAAAAGAGCGCCAGGTTTTGTGCTGAGACATGAGTGGCCCTTCTACTCACCTAAATCTTCATCTAGCTTCGTCTTGGGAGGCTCCCAGGGTGGTCGGGCAGCTTTGGCTTTTTCTTGCCTGCTCCCCAACTCCTCCTCAAATTTGTCATATAAGTCCCGCAGCCTACTAGTTCCAACAACAGTGGAGTCTCCCTTTTGGAAAAGAAAGGATCGATGTTAGGAACCATACTAATCATTCTATTAAAGATGCACAAGACCCCGGGAGGGAGAAGGAGGGGGAAAAGGAAAATGAAGAGCTAATTTCAGGAACCCAAGCGGAAAGCGAATTTTGAGAATGATAAGGGCAACAAATGTATAAGTGTGCTTTACACAACTGATGTATGTATGGATTGTGATGAATTGTATGAGCCCCAATAAAATGATTAATAAAAAAAAAGATGCACAAGACCTCACAAGTCACAGAAGAATTTATAACAGCAAGATACCATTTTTAAAACCTCAAAGTAACAAATATTTAAAAACAAAGTGCGCACAAATTCCTAAAACTATTTCCTTGAGATAATCTTTAAGCCTCCAACAAATAACATCCCCTAAAGTCTTCCGAAAACCAAACAAACGGTTTAACATAACTAGTAAAGCGTGACTGCCTTGAGCACTGTGCTGGGTTATCCATGCAAGGTCAGCAGTTCTCACCCACCAGCTCCTCCGAGGGCGAAAGAGGAGGCTTTCTGCTCCCATAAAGATGGATGGCCTCAGAAACCCTAGAAGGCAGTTCTACTCTGCGCTTCAGAGTTCCTGTGAGTCAGAATCAACTCGATGGCAACAGGATGAGGGGTTTATATTGGGTTCAACTGGCAACGAACCAAAAGATTAGATGGGACATTCAGGAGGCACCGAGCTGATGTACGTGAACGGGGGAGGAACAGCTACGACGGCGATGGCGGGAGTGGCTGCACAATGGGAAGAATGTAAGGGGTGTCAGTGAGCTGTTCGTGAGAAAACTGCTGAATGAGGTATGGTTTGCTGGGAACGTTCTCAAGAAAAACAAAAATCAATTATTCTTTAAAAAAAGCAATGCTGGAAACAATATCCTCAATGGAATACATCCACAGGGAAATGGGCTTCGGCACAATCAGATATGGAGCAGTTTGTCTATGCTCCTGAGGAGTGACATTAAAAAACAACAGCCATGAAACTCTCCTAGAGTTCATAACACCCTGTTCAAAGAGCACTCAAGAGCCCTAGTGGCACGTGGATTAAGCATTGGGCTGCACACCGAAAGCTTGGCAGTGCCAACCCACTAGCTGCTTCACAGGAGAAAGAGGCTTTCTGCTTCTATCAAAATTCAGTCTTAGAAATCAGAGGGAGCAGTTGTGTGGGGTCGATAGGGCTCCAAATCGACTCTACGGCAGAGGAGGAATTTGTCAGGAGTCAACACTCCCCTAGTGAGACTCACTGATGGCTTTTCCTCCACATG